CTCTCTACACTTCTCAACACTTTTCTTAAAACCAAATGGACAGGTTGCTTTTGGTATCATTTTAAATCAAACATTGCTTATACTAACCAGCCACTGGAAGTCGTCACCTATTTTTATTAAACAAAATCATGTAATTGCAGAGGTTGTATATCAGACTCCTCTTATAGTGCTACAAATACTTTTTTATATACTGCAAAAAAAAAATGTTTTTACTTGTATAGACGTAAACACTACTACACTCAATATTCACTTTATTAAAGCATGCAAGCATTGCACTTTTTCTAGCTTAGTCTGAGCGAAAAGCAAAAAAAAGGAGATGAAAATTAAAGTCTAGGGTACACACTTATGTTTTTTTGTTTCCCCCCCCTTCCCGACACCATGCAATTTCTTTGTTCTATGGACTACAAATAGACCTGTTCAGTTTATTAGCTGAACTCTGGAGGCTGGTACTTCTGGATTTTTTTTTTTTTTTGCTTCTTTCATGGATCTCTTGCAGACATATGCTGACTTGCTTCTTGTGGTTAATGTTCTAAATCTATAAAAAGCACACGTGCATGTGTTTTGACCCAGCTCGGACCAACTACAAACTTTTTTTTTTTTTTTGTCCCTCTCACTTCTGAGGCCAACATTTTAGAAGAGCCAGAGGATGTCTCTCAGCTGTTACTGCCATATGTTCTATTTAATGCCTCTAGTCCTAGCCTGCAGTAGTGCCTGACCTGCACAAGAATCAACACAGATGTTGGTTGTCATCTCCCACTCCCTCATTCTTTTATCAAAATTTTGGCTTCAGCATCTGGAATTTTGTTTGCATCCCTTTTTTTGTTTTGCATGACATCTTAGCCTTTTGCATATTTTGTGGTCATTAAGGCCTATAGATGTTCAGGTTTTTTTTTTTCTGTTTTGTTTGTATAACACGCTTTGCCACTATTACAGTATTTTCCCTGAATGAAATGCTTCAACTGAATGATCTTTTAGGCCTTGCAGGAAGGAGCCTTTTGCTTGTTCTCCCCTCTTGGTACATTTACAGTTACCTCATTTTGCTATTTATGTGTTTTCAGATTTGCCAATGAAAGCGTATGGATTTTATTGGATTCATATTTTTTTTTTTTTTCCTTTTAAATCATTCTCTATGGTATCATTTAACATGACATGTAGTTTTAAATGTATTATAAATATCTGTAACCAAATCATTTGAAGGCTTGATAAATTTTTAACAAAATTTGTAAATTTTTTTTATGAGAGTTACTAGTAATGCTTTACTAAGTAGTGCAATGATTTATTTTTTATTTTATTTTTTATCCCCATGTCCAATTTTGGAGTTGAGAGAGGGTTGTTCAGTAATAAATGTATGATGTACACTTATATCTTGTGTTGTGTTTGACTGATTTGCTAAATTATTGTCTATTCAGCTTGCATTGCTGAAATCATTGCTAAAGTTGGACTAGCGCTACATGGGTGATGACCTCTGATACTTAAGGGAGATTCATTATTTCATGCCTTCCACTGATTTCAACTCATTAACAGATGTGATATGCTCACACACTGAAGGGGCAAAATGACGCTGTTTGTAGCTAGCCCTTCCCCATAGGCATGTATATTTAATCATATTGCCTCACTAATGGAGTCAGGCTTCTAGGTATGGAGGGAGCATGTGACCTCCTCTACATGACTGCTCGAGCCTAATCAAAAGTGCTGCGCAAACTGTTGATGCTACATAAATCCTGTATAATAATAATAATCCGCCAATCACCATGCCTAAACACTGTCACTGGGGAGGGGGGTGCCTTGACATGATCTCCTTGTCCAACCTTTGACAGACAGGGATGCTGCAGCAGGGTGGTGGGACAGTGTGGCTCAAAATATACATGCCTGGGAGGGTGGGCAATGTGCAGACAGTCACTTTGCCCTAAATGGACAAAGTGTCTTTTAGGCTGAGCTCACACCTAGGCAGCGGTATTTTTGTGCATTTCTATGCGCATTTTTGATACACGTTTGCGCATAGA